CTTAGAAGAATATACATTTAAAAGAAATCAATTACTATTCCAAAAAGTATATACTATCCATTACTTTATAAGTTTGTCTTGAGAAATGTACATTATATCCAAAAAGTATATATTATCAACTGCTAGCTAATGAAAATCAGTAGCTTTATGTATTTCACTTTGATACACAAACTGTGGAAGATGTAATAAAACACATAAGTGTACTTATGTAATTCACATACTAGTACCTCTTATATACCTCTATCATTATTTTCATTACATGCAATCAGGTAGCATATCATTGAAATATATTGTTTTCTTTTTTTAGATTCAAAAAAACATAATTCAAACTAAAAAAATCATTAAAGAAGTAAGGTTTAACTATCTTTTCCTTACTTTGCTATAAGTAATGAAAATAAATTAGTTTTGCTATCAGTAATGAAAATAAATTGGTAAATATGCTTACCCGCATGATATTTTGAAACTGAATTTGCTTTTTTCTTACAATTAATAATCTAATAGAGTCAATATAAGAATAAACCTGAATATTAAGAGGGTATGTTATCAAATAACAACAGAGATAATTTTATTACTCAAAAGTAAACATGAAATCGTGAATTAAAAAAACTGAAATAACAAAATTCATTTATTTCCTTAGAGTAACTCATCTCAGATCGGTCGTTTCTCCTTACATGTTTGACATAATCGTTCTACGTATATGCCAATATAGCACTACATACTACACATGAATACACATTTATGTTTTCATACTATAAAAAACAGAGGGATATTGGTGCATTTGGACCAATTTCTAAATGCATATTTCCGTTTTTTTTGGCGAAAAACGTATGTTGAATACTAGAAGGATTTAATTAACAACCACATATAAACTAACCGCATAACACTACTTTTAGAACCACACATCACTCATGCCAACATAGTAAGTCTTACAATTTGAGAGATCATTTAGAATAAAAACTCCTCAAAAGACAGAAAATCAACAAGCATTAGAGTTTAAAAGAACAAAAGTTTCAAAGCATGCATCATCTTAGTAGTCAGAATGCAAGGATGAAGTAGTAAGAAACACAGAATACATATAACACATTTTGGTATTCTAAAGACACTCTATTACCATTCTTTATTCAAGACCTGTCCATCTCACTAATGACACCTGCTATGTGAATACATATATACAAAACCAAAATATACAAAACGCGGAAGGATATACACTTAAACGACATCAATTACTATTCAAAAAAGTATATACTATCCTTTACTTTATAAGTTTGTCTTGAGAAATGTACACTATATCCAAAAAGTATATATTCTCAACTGCTAGCTAGAGAAAATCGGCATTTACTTTGATACACGAACCGTAAAAGATGTAATAAAACACATAAGTGTACTTATGTAATTCACATACTAGTAGCTCTTATATACCTCTATCATCATTTGCATTACATTTAAAAAGGTAGCATATCATTGAATATATTGTTTTCTTTTATCAGATTAAAAAAAACAAAATTCAAACTACAAAAATCATTAAAGAAGTAATGTTTAACTATCTTTTCCTTACTTTGCTATCGGTAATAAAAATAAATTAGTTTTGCTTTTTTTTCTTTTTAAAGTCAAAACATATGACCACTTGGATGATAAAATTTTGAATTCTACAAGAACTAGGACAAAGCCAAGTCTCTCTAGGCCCACAAATAACAAATAAAGTAGTTGAAAATAAGAATCCTTCAAAGATATTACGACAGCAGTTTGTAGTGAAGATTAAAACTACCCAGCCTACAATAAGTTAAACTCCCAAACAGTAGTATGGACTGAAAATAGAAAGAAATAGGCTGAGAGTTAAAAGACAATATGAAGAGGAGGAGGACAACTCAAACCGCCACAAATACATATAACCCTGTAAGCTAAATTGATGCATGCCTACATAATTGGGACTCCAGTTTCAGAATTTGTTAATACTAAATGCAAATCAGTCCAATATATACAAAAAAATATAAATTAAGAACAAGAACATTGCCTGAAAATCAAAATAAACTACAAATCCTCAATTTCAGCAGAAAATTAACAAGGTGAGAGTGAAATGGTAGAAATTAAGTTCATAAAAGTAAAAAATCAAAGAAAGACACGGATGGTTGGGTAATACCGGCCTTCAAGTACAAAAAATCAAAGAAATAAAGAGATAATGGCGCGCTGATTTATACCTTCTCTTCTCAAGTTGGCCGGTGTGCCCTAAGCTCTAGAGTCGTCGTTGCGATTCTCTCTGGTTCAGCGAGCAAGAGGAGAGCGTTGAAGGAGCAGGAGCTTAAAGTCGTCTTCGGCCTAGGGTTTTTACGAAGGAATTATGTCTGAGTGGAAGAGGAGAACTGATCTAGAAGACTATACGCGCCGTAGTGGGCTGATTGTAATTGGAGCAGGCCGGCCGGGAAAAAAAAATTACCAAGTGTGGTGGGCAAAAAAATGTTGCATGTGGTGAAATGTTGCAAAAAGTTGGAAAGTAAGTGAAAATAGGGATGGAGTCGGGTCCGGGCTGGGTCTGGGTCGGGCCTAGGCCCGGGCGGGCCGGCGGTTCAAGAATAGTGGACCCGGGACCGGCCCGGGTAGCCACCAGATCCGGTCCGGGTCTGGGTCGGGCCAGGTCGGGCCCCCGGTTTGGATTTTTTTTGCTTTCCTAACCCCCCCCCCCTCACCCCCACCCTCCCAAACCCCCCCAAACCCATCCTACCCATCAAGCCCAACCCGGGTGGAACCCCAAAAATAAAAATAAAAAAAAAATCAATTTGGCCCGGGCCCGACCCGCCCGGGCCGGTTCACCAAAATTGAGACCCGAGCCCGGACCCACCCTACCCCCGGGCCTAGGCCCGACCCGGACCCGGACCCGGACCCGAGAACCGGGCTGGTCCCGGTCCCGCACAGTAGCGGGCCGGGCCGGATGGCCCGACCCGATCGAGTCCAACCATAAGTGAAATGTTGCATGCATGTGGTGAGGCAAAAAAATAGGGAGGCAAAGATGTGGAGGGAAAATAATAATGGATGAAAAAATGGAGGGAATTAAAAAGTTGGAGCCAAAAATTCGCATTTAATATCACTTTTTTATTGATATAATAGTGTCATGAGTTAATGACACTTTTTAGTTAAAGCATTCGTCAGTGACACTAATTTTAAAAAGTGTCACTATAAAAGTGTCACTATAAGCCCATTTTCTAGTAGTGCTTGCGTGTGAGACTCCTCACCACCTTACTCACAACCTGCTGAGGCTTGATATCCTCTCCATAGGATTTCATTTGTTGCACAATGATAGTAATTCTTGAAAGATAATCCTGCACAGTTTCTTTATCTTTCATGAGTGCATTCTCCATCTCCCTTCTAAGAGACCGTAATCTCACCATGATTACCATTTTGTCTCCTAGATATTCTTGCTTAAGAATACTTCAGGCGTCCTTTGAGGTGGAGGCAGCATCTATACGAGAGAAAACATCATCATCAAGGGCTTGTTGTATGAGGTAGAGGGCTTTGCATCTTTCTTCCGTTTGGCTCTTAAATTTTAATCAGGCTCCACCAGTTGATCATCTACAAATCCATCTTCTACAATACTCCATAACTCTTGAGATTTGAAGAGTGTTTTCATCTTCAAACTCCAGAAATGATAATTAACTCCTTTAAACAAAGGTAGTTGATTGACAGAGTTTCCATTGCTTGAGCTTTGCATTGTTCCTTTCTTTTTTTGTGAACTCTCTTTCTCACAATTTCGAGACGTTCAAACAGGTGTATGGATCGTCTTTACGTTCTGATACCAAATGTTGAACTCAAATAATGAAAACTATGGAATATTAAGGATGCAACACACACTTTTCATTAAGGAATAAGAGGCTATAAATAGCCATTTACAAAGCTTAACAACCATGCACTCAAATAGCAAAACTAACTCCTGAAAATGTGCCATACTCCACATTTAATTAACAAGAGATAGATAGACTAAAACAATTTATAAAAACAAGCCTAACACCTCACGACTTATTCAAAAATGGACTACTAAATAAAAAATAATTAAACAATGAGACTTTTATGTGTGCATGGCCAGGTAGACACCACATGCAATCCATTCTTCAAGTTTTGATCATTACTCAATATATACTACCTCCGTCCTAAATTGATTTGCAAATTTGACTTTTCTTGGTCAAACAGTTTCATTTTATTTGTTTAATTAGGATATCAATTTTTAATTATTTTCTAATTTGGAGTTTGCAACTTTGAAGAGATTTTAATGTATTTTCTGAATATGTAAATTTTAATTATTAAAAATTGAGTTTGTTGAGGTTAATTCGCCGCAGCCCGGAAGTTCAACACCTCTTCCAGGAGGGTTTCATGGCTATGGGGTGATAATAAAATATAAACAATGATTTTTACGTGGAAACCCGGAAAGGGAGAAAACCACGGGACTGTTTAGGCTAATGTCAGAGCCCGCTCCTTTTATTACTGCACTCCTCCCCAATACATTATACACGCTCCATTAATGGAGGATTCAAGCTAACTATCGTGAAGGAGGAAGAAAAGAGGGATCCTTAATAAGGAGGGGAATTCTTCTATTTATAGAGGAAAGGGGGATGGGTGCTCCACCCTAACGGGCCGAGTGGGCCGAAACGGGCCTTTTGGGTCTAGGTGGGCCGAATGGGCAGAAATGGGCCCAAAGGCCGAAACAGGCCTGATAGGCTAAAATGGGCCTTACTGATTGGGCTCCGTACTACATAAAATCTTGGGCTCCTAAACAGTAATAGGCCGGGATGATATATCTCAACAACGTTAATTATCGATATGGAGGAGTGACTTTTATTACTGATTAACAAAAAAATATTGATTTTGCAAAACAATTTGGGAGGGAGTATAAATTAGAGGGTCGGATAAGAGGCATCCATAGCAAGCCCACAAATTCCAGGGTTGTGAGCATAATTAGTACCCCTTGTAATCCTCATATACCCACCCTCACCCCACCCACTGCCCCATGAATTTTTCACTATCCAATAACTTGCCCCCGCCTCCTCATCACTGCCATACCCGACCACCGTGACGGCGTGGTTCAGGGTGGGTCCGCAATCCATGTCGTCAAAGATTCCTCCCGAGTAGAATTGGAAGGCATCTGTGCCGCCGTTTATGCCCACAGACACCGGCTGATTCGCCACCGCCTTCAAGAGTGCAATCTCGTCTTCAACGGGGACGCTCTCGTACCCGGAGATCCTGACACCGCCGGTGTGCCCACTGCCGCAGCTGGCACTCTGTAGCGCAGTGTAGGGATAAATGGACTCGGCAGTGAGGCCATTGTTGTTGTTCACGATGAAGTTGAACGCTTTTTCCATGAGGCCGCCGTCGCAACTCATGTCATCCCCGTTGCAGTCGAGGAGCTCTTGTTCTGACAGCGATACCAGCTCACCTGTTTTTATCTTGTTGAGACCCTCCACGGCTGCCACCGCAGAAAATGCCCAACAACAACCTGCACCCGCCCATCATAACGTACAGTACTAAATATATAGGCGAAGTAAAACATACGGTAACTATTTTTTTCAAATACGGAATACTCTTTTTGCTAAAATAGAAGTAAAAACGTTTTAAAATTCCAAAACACGAGTATCATGTTTTGTATTACCTGAATAGGAGTAAATTTCTGCCAAGTTTGGCATTACTAGGCTTTTAAACATGACATTTTTTTCTAAACTTTGCAGATTACTCCTATTCAAGGAATAAAAAATATGATACTCCTATTTTGGAATTTCAAAGAGTTTTTACTCCTATTTATGGCAATTTCTAAAAATAGAACTAATGCACTCTTAACCTTTTGTTTTTCGATACAACTAAGGGCCCATTTGGTAAAATTCAAATAAGTTGATTCTGCTGAAATTTATGATATTCTGGCTGAAGTGGATCGATTGATGCTACCGATTTATGAAAAAAGTATTTAAAATATACTATGTAGTATCGTTTTATTAATAAAATAGTGAAAACAAATATATGAAAAAATAGCTACAATGAGCTTCTACAGTAACTTCAACAATACAGATACAAAATAACTTTAACCTTACTTTTTCTTATTATTACACAATTCAGCGCGTGAAACTAAAAGTGGGTGAAAATTTGGTTGATAAGTCTCATTACCTATCCGTATTAGACAATACGGATAGGTAATGTTTAGAAGAATTTTATGAGGGAGCGAGTATTATACATTCGCGTGTTAATTTAATTTGTAATTGAGAATTTACAAGTCTATGATTTGAAAGTCAAATCTGGTAATGTGTACTTGTATACAAGTCAAGTGTGGGATATTCTTCCTGCTGGAAGCGTGCGTCGGATAGCGAATCGAGTACTCCTTATTTACCAAATTCATTTATTTTTCTAGGGTGGAGGTTCAATACACTCCGTATTTTTTTGGGAGGGACAAAAGAAAAGGTTAATTCCTGAAAATTCCTGAAAAAAAAGTAAAAATGTTTTGTAATTTCAAAAAAGTAATGTGATGTTTTTTTTGTTCCCGAGTAATTATTTCCAATTTAAAAAATATTTTAAAGTCAGAAAATGCCAAAATGCATTTTAGAAACATTTTTACTCCAATGGTGAAATTTGTTTTAAAGATCGAAAAAATTCCACTTTTGGTCTCATTACTATTATACCATTTCCACATTTAGTCACTTACTTTCGGATTGTCAACATTTAGTCCGTGACCATTATCCCCTCACCACCCATCATCCTTCTGGCCAAAATTCCGTCAAATTTAGTCCACTTATCAGCCTCAGAATCAGTCTTTGCATTAAATTTTATATAAGGTTGGGTTTTTCATATCAGTCTTTGCATTAAATTTGGTTTTTCATACCTAAAATCCGCATTAAATTTGTCGCAATTTCAGCCGGAAGGACGAGGGGTTGTGAGGGGATAATGGTCACGGACTAAATGTGGACAATCTGAAAGTAAGAGACTAAATGTGGAAGTGTTATATTAGTCACGGGACCAAAAGTGGAATTTTTTCTTAAAGATTTGATAACTAATTAGATAGCTTTTGGTTAATAATCAAAGATGCATGAAGTTGAATGTCAAAAGTATGTAGGAATAAGTATACATACCACATTGAAGTTGCTCTTTGACGGGTGTTACTGCACCTTGTGCCCTCCAGTCCAAGGCTTGGGGTACCTCCGTAACATTTTGGTACTTAAAATGATTGGGGGGCGGCGCGACGGCGGCGGACACTTTGGAGTTGTAACCAGCGGCATGCATGGTGCGGAACTCGTGGTTGGTCAAGTCTGCAAATTTGTTAAGGCCGAGCTGGTAACCGCCGCGCTGCTGCTGCTGCTTGGCGGCATTAAATGCCTCGATTCGATTCACGTTTTGTTGGAAAATGTGATAGCGCTCCTCTTCTTCACTGGCGTCCCTGTAACTCTTGCCATGAAGGCTCATCCATTGCTCATATTGAGCTCGCCGCCGCGTGGACGACGGCGGCGACTTCTCACCATCAGAGCGGTCAACGACCAAAACTCGGCTGCAGGAAACCCCACTACTTATAATTGCCAACAATATCATGAGGCCAATCGGCAACGAGTAGCGATTCATTTCGGATGCCATTACGTACGAGCCTGCATGCAATGGCGAGTTTATTAATTAATATAATTGCATGTACTGCATGTATCAAGGAACGTACGTCTCAACAGATGAGATAGCTAGCTAGATAGATGTAATTATATATTAAAGCTAGAATGATATAAATATATGGCCGGACGTAACTTTGTTTAAATTAAAAGGCCAGGCCAGGCCAGGTGGATGATGAATAATACGGAGTATAATAATGGGATATCAGGCCGGACTTATTTATACTCCGTATAGTGTATGTTTATGCATGAAATTGTAATATATATACTGTCCAAAAAGACATGAAATTAAAATAATCCTCATGTTCAATTTAATGCACGAGCTTCGTAGCTATTTCCCTGTGATTAAATAGATGTATCGAGCTAGAGAATTGAATTGGTAAAACTACGTACTGGTCGCATTGGATTTTTATGCAATTCACACCAGGCCCGGCCCACCTCTTTGGAATGGAAATACATGCATACGAGTACGTAGTATATTATCAACAGTTAGCCAGTCTACAAATGACTTTTCAAATTCAAGGTCAAGTGATGCGACATGTAATCTCATTCATCTCGATCTTTCTGCCCATCCAAATTAAGCGTTACGTTCTCCGATCGCTCATTTCATTTTGAATCATCTGTTCTCGAAAATCTAGTTTTTCGTTCTCATCGTCTGAACTTTCTGTTATGTATGTTCATATTTTTATCTAGTTTTATTGGTTCTAGTTGTGGAAATTACACATTTTTGGTGTAATACTTTATTTTCATTAATTATTTGTAATATATTTAGATCAGGATTATTCTGAGCTTAGGATAAGTCAAAATCATCCCAAAAATCAAAGGATGGCCGGATCCTAAAGACCAAAGAATGTGCAAAAGAGAAAAGATCAAATGAAGATTTTGATATTTGTTCAATACTCGGTCGAGTATTGCCAATACTCGATCGAGTATTGCCAATACTCGGTCGAGTATTAGACAGATACGCTGGCCAAAATCAAATCTAGGAGCAAAAGAACGTGGTTGAGTATTTGATGAAAATCCTGTCATACTCGGTCGAGTGTTTGCAATACTCGGTCGAGTATGCCTATTTTTCACAATTTCCTGGAAATTTCCTCTCATACTCGGTCCAGTATCTCCAATACTGGATCGAGTACAGAACCCTGCCACCTTCATTTTGGTATAAATACACCCTCTTTCCTTCACATTAAAATCATCCCTTCTTCCATACTCTTAAGCTCAGTTTAAAATAATATTTCTTTATATTTTTCTAGCTATGTTTAGTCTCCAAATGAGAAGCTAAACTTCTATTTCTTGGTGTTGCTCTTGAAGCTTGTTGATTATTAAAGTTGTGAGTTATTTTTCTTAAACTTCTTCCCTTGAATATTAATTATTAGTTCTTTCCTTAATACTATCTCTATATTAATGTTGGGGAGTGTTTCTGAGATGACAATTAGTTAACATCTTGACATTAGTTAGAGTAGTATTTTCTTCCTTTATATTAATGCTGGGGAGTGTTGCTAAGATGACAATTAGTTCACATCTTGATATTAATCATAGTCGGATTCATCTCCTTTAATAATATTCTTCCTTGAATATTAATTAATTCATATTCATATTTCATATTAATATTTTGAACATTACTTAAAGAATCAAATAGTTTTGTTTCATATGTTAATTATTACTAGAAATGATCGACGAACAGATGGTTAATCGTTGATGGTTTCACAAGTAAGTAACCTCGGTTTATTAATGCACGGTCGTGGTTGATAAACTTAAGAGAGATTAATTTTGTTGGTTAAACCAAAACCATTGTGTTGAGGTTATCAATCTCAATTGATTTCATCAACGAGTTAAGAGATTAAATGCTACTATCAAGTTGGTATATGGCGGTGTTATATACTTGACTAATAGTAAGGGTTATTAAGAACGGCCGTTGTTAATAACTACCCTCGATGAATTTGATATACTCCTCGATTGAGTATTCGTGAGGGAATAAGTTATAGATATAACAATGATCTACTAAAATATATCAACAAGTGGAAAGTAGCAATGTCAAGTTCTTTTATCTTTGAATTAAAACACATATAGGTTGTTCATCTTAGTTTTTAAATTAAATCAATCAATCTCAAAACCCCCCTTTTATTTATTTGTTTCATAAAAAGAGAATTATTCCTTTCCCTGTGGATACGAACTCTACTTCACTTATACTACGTATTAGTGCTAGTATTGAATTTATTTTGACGCACCGTGACAAAGTGCTCGTCAAATTTGGCGCCGTTGCCGGGGAAAGGCAATTATTTTTCTTTTTATTTTATCTCATAAAAAAAAAAATTAGTACCCAATTTTGATATAAAATCATTTAAATTAAGTGACAAAAATAAATGTACAACTTTTGAGACTAAAGGAATATTACCGGAAAAGTAAAAATAGAATAAGGTAATTTTATTTACCTTAATAGGATATTTAGATCCTACCGGCAAATATTATTTAGCTCAAAGATTAATTATGTGTCAAATTTTAGAGGAAAGATGCTCGAAAATATTACACATTCAATGTGTATGATTGGAAGACAAAACTAGGACCAGCCTTAAATGCCAAATCAAGTACTGGGTCCGGAGCATTAAAGCGCACACATAGGACTGTCTCCTGAGGTGATTTTTCAGCGGCCGAATTATTCAAGACAAAGAAATCAGCCTCAATAAATGCTCCAGCACAAGAAGACAAATGTACAATTCATCATTACAAGAATTTCAACGTCAAAGATTAATTCATCCTAACCAACGGATGAGATTAATCCAAAGGAGAAGCCTATAAATATAGGCTGAAACGAAAGTTTCTAACCAAGCTTTGAGCATCCAAAGTAGAGAAATTCTTCCACGAGCATTCACGAGCTATCTAGCAAAAGAGAGAGTGCTATTCTAAACTTTACTCTCTGCTTGGACTCATGCTTCACTAAACTTCCAGTTTACAAGCTATTCATTGCTAAATCATAGAAGTTTAGTTCCTAGTTGAAGGTTAGAACTTTCTTGTAACATTTCACAAATTGTCGTAAACACTTAGGAGAACAGTTGTTCGGATCCTAAAGTGTGGGTAGATAGATAGAGTACATTTTGATCTCCACTGGTTCATTAGAGAAAAGTCTAAGGACTGAGTAACTTTGAGTGGTGCTATACTCATTGTGGAAAACCTTCAATCTAGGCCTAAGTGTTGTAAAGGCTAGATTGGCACTAAGTGTATTGGGCTTAATACTTTAGTGAAATCCATCTGAAAGAGGGTGGGACTGGACGTAGGGGGATTACACCACCTCTGAACCAGGATACACTGTGTGTTGATTTACATTGATTCAACAAAGCACACACTTAGCACTTCTTACAAAAAGATTGAAGTTTGCCAGCAGAATCCTAAGCAGTTGTCTTAACTGACCCAACTGCTTATCCTACTGCTTAATTACTTACTTTCTTTGAGACCAATTTCACACAAGAGACGTGCATCAATATCACTAAAAGGCTTGTTCTATCTGTTTCCCGAAATTCATTTTCTAAGTATAGCAGGTGTCTCAGCAGTCCCCTGGTGACCACCCAACTGTTGAGCCCTCTGCTCATATACACTTGTTTCTCTTGAACATCTCAATATCACCAGATCTTCATAACATTACCAACAAGGAGGTTGACCAAACTGCTCTTTGAAAATCACCTTCTAAACTAAGCAGGTCCCTCAGCAGTTCCCTCATCACCATTCAACTGCTGAGACCACTGCTCTAGTAAAGCTCCTGATTACTTTTACTAAAGCACATTCTCTGAAAGTCCTCATCATTCTCAGCAACATTCCATCATCACTTTCATCAAACACCCAATATTTCCTCAACAGTTGCCTTAGCAATTCCCTGCTATCTAGCCAACTGCCAAGCCAACTGTGAGACACTTGGGTTCAATCTTCTACTAAGATAGAAATTATTCACACACGGATTCCATAAAGGGTAAAGACTTCCGCTGTGCATCTATAAATCTCTCAAAAGATTATAGATCAACTCTTTAGAGGGAGAAACGCTTTAAAGTTGAAAAAGATTTAAAAGTCTATTCACTCCCCTCTAGACTTTTACCCTATCCGGGACCATCAAGTGGTATTAGAGTGGAGTGTTCTTAGAGTCAGTCTTTGACTAATTTGAACTAAAGATCCAAAACCACTTCGCTTCCCAAACACTTTCTAAATATGGACAGTCAGCTAGCAAAGAATCTTTTGTTCAACCTGAACAAATTTGATGACTGGAAAATAAAGATGAAGACACATCTTAGTGCTTTACATGATAAATGCTTAAAGTAATTACTGCTGGACCTATCAGAATAATGAAGATCAGCACATCTAAAGCTGATGACCAGGAGGATGTGTACCTTCCTAAACCAAAATTGGAATGGACAACTGAGGACAGGAAGAGGAATAATCTTGACAAAATTGCCAAAGATATTCTCTTTAAATCTGTTGATGAATCCATATTTCCCAGAATCAGGAAATGTGAAACTGCAAATGATGTATGGGATGATCTCACAAAGATCGGAGCTGGTGATGAACAAGAAAAGGATAACAAACTAATCATAGCAGAGGTCTCAGACCTAGGGAAAGATCTGTCCCAAAAGGAGATTTCCCTCAAAGTTTTGAGAGGCCTACCCTCAAAATGGGACATGAAGGTGACTGCTATGAGAGATAGCAGGGATCTAAGAACCTTGTCAACTGACAAGCTCTTTAGTGACCTAAAAGCATATGAATTTGAGATGAAGGAGATGAAAGATGAAAAAGAGGATGAATCCAAGACACTAGCCTTAGTGTGTTAGCTAAGCACATCAAGATCCAGTGAAAATCCCTCAACAATCTCCTCACGGACGAACAATTTGCTATGTTTGTGAGGAAGTTCAAAAGATTTATGAAGAAGGAGGGATCTGCCCCAAAGAAGCCATACAACATGCCACCCAAGAGACAAGGGAGACCTCAATCCAGTGAGGACATTGTCCTATGCTACAACTGTAGACAACCAGGACATTACAAAAATGAGTGCCCTCTGCCCTTAGCCCAAAAGTATTAAGGGTAGCAGGGGACTGGTCAAAAAGCTGGTTACATGAAGGATTTCAAAGGCAAAAGACAAGCCTTTGTAAGTGAAAAGAAAAAGGAGGAACCCCAAACTGATGATGAAAGACGCTCGAGTGATGAGAGCTCCTCTTTTGATAGCTCAAAAGAAGCACTTCTTTGCTTAGGATCCTGGCAGGTGGCTGAAGAAGGCAGCAGGTGCCTCACTGAAGAGAGCAGTAGGTGGCTCAACGAGCC